TACTACAAACAATCGGAACTTTAAATCCCAGTTCCTTATAAGCCTTGAATACCTATGCAGCCTATATTTTCAAATTCCACTATGTATTGCCTCGTAAACCAATGAAGCAAATACTGACGTTTTCTTCTATTCACAGTGGGACAGTCACTACAATCTAGTGAGAACAATAGAAGAGCGCTATATGATGTTACATATGCATCTAAATGCCAAATCAGTCCGCGAAGATCCTATAGCCTTCAGCGTTTACATGAATCTACGTGGTACTGAAATCTTTTTCCATGAGGTTGCCGTCAAGTTGGTAGAGCAGCAGGGATATCCGGGTTTAGCCGCTGCTGAAAGCCAGAAGCGCTCGATTGCTGCCGCCTACAAGGTTGCAAGTACTATGCGTCTAAACTGGCCCTGCCAGCAGCTCGAACGTGATATCTTCAACCTACAGGCCACATTCCTCGCGTGGCCTGTAGTGATGGCTATGAAGGCTCTCAGCCGCGAACTCAAAGGTTCCACACAACTGAAGAGCGAAAGTACGAGCAGTGCAGTGACATCTTTACGATTACTCAGAGCCGCGTTAGACTATATTGAGGAGTCAGATGGATACTGGCATCAGTGTACAACAAACATAGTGGCGGCGCTACAAGAGTGGGATGAGACTTGCAGGTATGACCCTAGTGACATATGACCCTTTTTTTGTCCGAGGTATAGGATAGGTATTTACATATGCAGGTGATGTCATCATTGTAATATTTTTTGCAAGCAAGGAGTATAGGATATTCACATCCCAACTTGGGCCAAGGCCAAGTCGCTCTGCCAGAAGCATGGATAACGGATACAGCGCTAAGCATAGAAAGGAGAGAGACATTGCCTCAGGGGTTTTCATGCAATTTAGACCGGCTTTGCTGTTTGAAAAGCCCAAGTAAGCCCTAGCCAGACCAGCATATTTCTATGTAGACAAGCGCATATACAGATTGTCGCCGGAGCTTCTCAGATGCGGCGGCTAAAAATAGAAAAGCGGTTAATCTATTATATCGTGCTATAATCAACATTTATCATTGGTCTGAACTAAATTTGCTATAACGTGCTCTATACTGAGATGACTACCTCAATTGCGATCTATACGGTTGCTAGGTACTATACACGAGGCTTGGAGAATAGAAATCCTTCAATGATTATCCTATCCCCATCACAAGCCACATTCTTAGTGCTCTATAGCATGGTGTAATAATGGGAACCCCGAGGTTGAATATAATCTAGGACGTCTTAATAATGAATCATGTGTTAATCACCGTCTCTATTAATCAGCAGGCGGAGGATCCCCAACCATCTTAGTCAGAGGCGCGGTGGCTTCCGACTGGCTAGAGTACATAGGTATAATCGCATCGTGATGGTCTATAGCATCTATCAATGTGTCTAGGTATCTACACGCCTGTACTTACCTATCTAAATGCCTATCGCCTTAGCTATAAATATAATATGATGCAATACCCGAGTGTCTTTAATGGCTGGCTATATTGAAGCCTGTCCCAGGTAGGGCTCAAGGGATATAATACCACGCTGCCACATCACATCACGTATTGTGGTGAAATAAGAAGCAATAAAAGATAGTAAAATTAAAGAGAGGGAGGGAGAGTAAATGCGCTTCCTCAGCAGCATCTAGCCCTTAAGCAGTATCGCCGTCGTCGCTAACGGTCTTAAGGTTTGTTTCCGCTACTCCGGTGTCGCAGGGGTATGTAATTCTGCTTCCTCTTTCGTGTTCTCGAGTTTCCCCGTCCTTTTATACATACGTGCATTGCATTACATGCCCAGGGATATACGCTATGTGCGTATATGTACGAATAATAGTTCCTAAAACATTCATGTCCATGTAAACAATGTCACGGAGGCTATTGCTGATCCACCTCCCTATTGGGCAAGTCAGTCCATGGTGGCCTATATTTTGCCTAGTCCAGTTTTAAGTTGCCCTGGCAAAATGTGAGCGCGTTGATTTGATTGTGGCCTGCAGATGCTCATGACGTAGGATTGGATATGCGGCAGATAGACAAATAGACATGTGGGACAGATAAGCATAGATGGTGCCGTCGAAACAAGTTGCAGATCTATCAACGGAATTGTTGCTACTATGCTATATGCCGTGCGTATGTTGGTGGAGTGCGCCGTCGTTTCGACGTCCATACATAGTTACAGATAGGGCAGAGGGAGGGGGGATATGCCCTTGAACGATTACGAAGACTTTCCATGGGTTTTCCGCGGCCTCTTCACGTACGTCTTCATGTATGCAAATTGAACAAGCATGTATGAGTGAGACCCTTGACGCTGCCATGCCGCCTGCGCATCTACAGGCTTACAAAGATTACCTAGTTTATAATCCCGAGGACGAGGAAATAACGCCGAACGCGAGGTTGACCAATGGCGTTACATTGATATCGAGAATTTACTTGACTAGTATTTATTTCATGCGTAACTTATAATTATGAAAATTAACTAATTAGCTATAATCTTATAAGTAATTTATAGTTTTAATATTATAACCTGTTTTATTTTTATTTTTACGATAATGCATAACAATCTTTCAAGTTGAAAATTAATTTTTATATGAAATAAACATTTTTCGTATTGCTTTAAACCGAGGCGTGAAAACGGCAAGTGTCATTTTTAATCGTACAAATGTACCTGCAGGGCGAGCCGTCCCGTGCCGCGTCGGAGTGCCCATTTTAAGACCCATCTTCTGCATCTTCTGGCCTTGTTTCCATAGCCTTACTAGCCAAGGTAGAGCTCCCCACAGGCCTTCCCATTGTCCCACTGGAGCTATATACCCACTAAGTGGGGTGGCGGGGGTTAAAAGAGGGTCTCGTAACCGAGTTCTCTTTTCATCCTACGCATCCTGACATCCTACACTATGTTAGGTATGTATGTAGAGCACTAGGTTAGAGGATGACGGCCAAGATTGCAAGTTTTTCAACCTTTGGTTAGAGTTATCTGAAGTCAAATTCATACCCCTAAAAATTTGTGTGTTGTCATAATACGGCCAGTATGAGGGGGATGGATAATCGACGCGCGGTCTCACCATCTGGTTTCTTGGTTTCTTGGTTTCTTGGTTTCTTGATTTCTTGATTTCTTGGTATCTCGACCTCTTCGTATAAGCAACGAAACAACTTGTCGAGCTTCTCTTGGAGAAAGACTTCTTTAGACTAGGAATTTCGCGTAAATCACTCTCCAAGAGCGATCGCGCGCGCCATGCCGCCTAATCAATCAGACACGCTGCCCACGACGACGAAACATCCCCACCTAGATAATATAGGTGTATTGAGATCAGTGTGTCGAGTTGATAAGGGGAGTCAATAAACGATTATTGTTCTATGCCAACCAGTCAGTTCAAACCTCCCCAAGAAGAACCTTGCTTATATGGAGGTATGATCTACAAGAAAATAAACAATTTCATCTAGAAAAAACTAACTAACATGATTACTTTTGAAAGCGGTTCTCACGAACTAGATCAACCTATATCCCATGTTCTTGTTGAATGAAATAAATGAAATCTCTATTGGCATATGTTAAGACCGGTGCTGGCATGGCACCCCCGTGTGTTGATCGAGTTTTGTACCGGAATGGCCGCCCTCCCCGATTGGAAACGCTTGGAAAGCCACTATTGTTTGACTTAGTCCCGCATTCTGAAGGGAGGCAATGGGAAAGGGGGCCGGTCTTCGGTCGGATACGGCCAGCGGCCCAGCGTTCCCGAAACTAATATATTGATCGGCGAACGTTCGGTATTGATCTCCCGTGATAGTAATGAATTTGCCGTCGCAACAGCTTTTTCTTCCATACAATTTATTTAATCCTTTTAGGCGTAATCCTTTGGAGACGTTTGTCCTTGTAATCGCAGCACTGGTAACTCATTATCACTTGATTCTGTAGAGAAATAGACTCAGGTTTGGCATAATACCTGTAATTGTTAATAGTAATAATGATGATGATTACCTAGGTACTTGTACTGTCTACGCAAGCTCGCCATACCTACCCTAACGGATACTACGCTTTAATTAAGAGTTGATTTCTGGATTGGGGATAGCGTTATAAGGGTTGGAGCAAATGAGAAGCTATTTCCACGTTTATTAAAATCTTAAAAAGGAAAAGAAACTCTGAAAATAATGTGAAAATGGATGAAAGTTAGAAAATACCTTTAAGATATATAGGAAGCCCTTCTATTCGAAAGTATTTCGGATCAATCCCTATTCCAAGGATTAACGCTTAATTAAAGCGCAGCACCTGTTAGGGTGCGGCGAGCTTGCGTAGACAGTACAAATACCTAGAATACACATATGCAACCGCTTTGTTCAGATACCTCTGATTGGTCCGGAGAAGGCTCCTAACCATCTATAACAAATTTGAATCTAAACACCCCGTGGAAGTCTTCTGGCAAATGCTATTGGTAACTTTGTTTTGGAGCACTAAGAATCATACTTGCAGTCACGATCCTTCGAATGTAAGTTGCAGATCGTTTTGTAATATTATCAGTCTCCCGTGTGTACCTAAGATATGGATAATGCAAGGTGTATGAAAAGCCTGTCAGCAATAACGGACCAACCAAATCGAATAACATTTTGATTAGGTACATATTTTGATTTTTCATTATTCAAGTCTAACTAATGGCTACGGTAAATACCATAGCTTAAACAGAGTAAAGTTGGCGAGATTGTTGCCGGTAGTTATTACAAGTTTGTTTTTTATTTAAAGATAATTAAGCGTGTGAAGAGATAACAGGTACTTTCATAGCCATGGTGTAGTAAACATGATGATAGTATCACCGATTGATATACGAAAGATTTTCTGATTCTTGTTGCGATCATGTATTGATCTGGCTATCTTAACACTCTAATCTTCTAAGTAAATCATACTCATGACACCCAGTAGAGTTCTATATACAGAATTGGTAAAACAAATAGAAACCTAATCTATCCTTTTCTATTTTCTTCTTTGTATTGTGGAAAGGAATGAGTAAGATCTGAAATTCACTCAATCTGGATTCCCTGGTTTGCAACCACCAGCTGAGCAAAGCCCTTGATGGTGAGTGACGGCCCCAACAGTTGCTGGAAAGCAATGTCAAGGCCAAGCTCCTTGAAGATCCAGTTCCTCAGCTCGGCACCAATCATACTGTCGATACCGAAGCTGGCGACGGATCGGCCTTCGCCTTCAAAGTCCTCCAAGTCAAGCATGAGAACACGCGAAAGCTTAGCAATGAAGTGTTCCTCGACGGCAGCAACAGCCTCTGCGGGGGATGCTGCGTTCTTAACTCTGGCAAGGATAGAATCTGCTCCTCCACCAACGTCACCCTTGCTTCCAGACTCCATTGCATGTAGCAGAGTGGAGAATCGGGGGTCAACAGCCCAGAAGACATCGACATCACCTTCGGCTTCAGACTTGGCCTTGGCGAGAAGCGATGGGTCAAGTCCGACAACTACATGGTCGAAGTCAACAGCTTCAGGGTTGCCCTGCTCGATAATGGCGACCTCAAACGAGTCAAGGAGACCATCCTCGTCGACGCCGTACATACCCTTGCGCTTGAGGGAGTCCTCAAGGGCGGCATTCTCAGCAACGACACCAACACCGAGAATCATAGGGAGGACGATGGCAGCGGCACGCTTGCCTTGAGTGTGTCGAAGACGGGCAAGGGTATCCATGTAGGCGTTACCGGCAGCATAGTTGCTCTGACCAGGGGTACCTAGGGTACCGGATACTGAACTGGTCATGATGAAGAAGTCTAGGTCAAGGTCCTTTGTCACCTCGTGCAAGTTGGAGCTTCCGAGAACCTTGGGCTTGACGGAGGTTACCCAGCTATCGTAGGTCAAGTTGTGGAACATGCCATCCTAAAAGGTAGATATGTTAGTGATAAAATCTCAAGTAGTGATAGAAAGTGACTTACTCGCAACACCATGGCAGCGTTGATAACACCGCGAATCGGGCGGTCAGCAGGGATAGAGCTGACGGCCTTCTCCACGTCTTCCTTGATACTAGCATCGCCCCTGAATACCTGTACGTTGGCGCCGGCGGCTTGGAGGCTGTCAACAAGAGTAGCAGCCTGGCGAGAGTCCGTGCCTGATCGTGACAAGAAGGCAAAGTTCTGTGCACCCCTCTTCAACATCCACGACGTGAGACTGCGACCTAGACCACCGAGACATCCGACTAGGAGGTATGTAGCATCTGATCGGAGGTGAGCATGGGGGCGAGATGGCACAAGTTTCAATGTGCCACTTGAAGGCTCGTTAAGGATGACTGTCTTAGAACTCTGAAGGTCATCCGAGAAGGCCGAGATGCTCTCATTAAGTTCGGTGATGTTCTTGACGGTAATGGGCAGGGCAGAGATAGATCCCTCGCGGAAGAGCTTGATAGTTTGGTCAAGCAGTCCGGCCAACAGACTTGGCTTCTTGAACAGGTTAATAGTGTCGAATGCAAAGTAGCTTGCACCACGGGTGGCGGGGACGATGTCTAGAACGTTAGAGAAGGCAGCCTCGGCGTTAGCACGGTTCACGAATCGGGAGAATGCGGGCAAGTGCCTCCAAGCTTCCTGTGCGACTGTAGCCTCGACGGAGTCGGATGAGAATACGACATCAGGCTTGTTCTGCTCTAGCCACGTAGTAGACCACTCAACAACCTGGCTAGATGGTAGACCGAGCTGCTTGGTGATGAACTCGGCTTCAGCAGGGTTGCGCGCAGCTACGAAAGGTATGGCACCAAGAGCCTTAGAAACCTGGACGACCGGTGCAGTGATGAGTCCGGAGCCGGGAAGGACAAGGACCGACTCTCCCTTTTCTACATGTGCGAGGTTTCGGAGGCCATACAAGGCGGCGCCGAAGGAAATGGGGAGGCTGGCGAAAGTAGAGAATGATTCGTCGGGGTTGAGCTTCTTGGCCAAGCTCTGGTTGACGCGCTGGAAGGTCGCGAATTCGCTGGAGGTGAAGCTGACGACACGGTCGTCGACAGCGAAATCCTTAACACCAGAGCCGATTCTGGTAACAAGACCAGCAATCTCGTGGCTGATGTCGCTAGTAGTCTCAGTTCCCTGAATGACGGCAATGTCTTCCTTGTTCAGGCCGGTGGCTACGACTTGGATTTCGATCTCCTCGGGGCTTAGTGCGGCCTCCTCTTCGGACTCGAAGATGACTACACCGCTACGTACCTTTCCTACAAGTCTCTTTGCAGGGTCAAATGAAGCGTCCAAAAGATCGTCCTCGTCATGTGCGTGAATCTCGTTGAGGCGCTCATCCGGAATCAAGCGGTTGATGTTGACCTTTCCGTCCGAGACGTAGTATTCGGTCTCAAGGGCCTCGCCATTGATCTGCTTGGTAGCAAGGGAAGTGGTCAAGCTCACAAACTCAGTGAGAGGAACCTCGCCCTCGAAGTCTAACAAGGAGGCGTTCAACTTGATCTGCTCAGAGCGAAGAGAGCGGAGAAGACCGCTAGCCATGGCATAGTAAGGGTTCTCACCCTTCAGGATACCACCACGAGTCACCCACAAGACCTTGGTAGCTTCGGCAAGAATTGCCTGCAAGTCGAGGAATTCCTTCTCGGTGATTGTAGCTAGGAAGGGTCCTTCAAGGTCGGCAAGAATGAGAATAGTAGCTTCAGGCGAAGTCGGGGCACCAAGTTGGATCGATTCGACCACATTGCCCTTGCCTTCGAGGCTCTTGGCCAACTCCGAGAAGGCAGGTGAGATGCTGTTTCGGTAGATGAGTTGCACCTTGTTGGAGGTAGAAGGCTTCGTCTCCTCAGCGGTCGCCTCGTCGGAGCTGGTGGCGGGTACAACCACGGCACCGTTCTCAAGCGTGACCTTCACTCCAGAGAACCCGGCACTCTTCAAGCTTGCCTCGTCTAGAGGAGTTGCTGCTGACTTAACAACGGCCTCGCCTCCCTCAGTCAACAATTGGCGAATCTTGGTTAGCGCATCAGCGGATGCGACGTTGGCAACAATTAGATCGAAGGAGCCCGCGGCAGCAGACTCGAGCTTCTGGAACTTGACGTTCTTAGAGCTTGCTAGCTCGGGAGGCACGGCGTATTCTTCATCGGGCACGTCGTAGGTAATAGTAATATCCAAAGCAGGGACAGTCTTCGCAAGCGACTCGGCTTCCGCAGAGTCCAGCGAAGCAACCTTAAGACCGGGCTTCTTGAACTCGGCGAGATCGACGAATTCGGCCACGCTAAGCTTCTGGGTTCCGCTCAGGAAGTCAACATCCGGCTTGGACAGTGTGCGTCCGTATGGCTGGGGCTTGGCGGGTTCTTCGGCAAGCTGGGGTCGTGCGGCTTCGTAGCCGATACATTGCATGTTATTAATTTCTACCAAGACTTGACCATCGTTGGTTACCAATTGGTTGTGGGCCTTCACTGAGCGAGGACCACGGGTGTCGACCCAGGTAAATGCCTTACCCTTGCCATCAGCAAGCTGAGCTTCGGTGGGCTTCCAGATCGCGATCTCCTCTGCCTGAACCGGGACAACACCGAATTTGATGGCGTTAGTGCTACCGCCCCAGAAAGCAATAATGAAGAGTTGAAGGCACAAGTCGATCGAAGCTGGGTGGAGAACATAGCGGGACTCGCCGACCATGCTCTCGACCGTGTTCCTGAAAGCAACCGTGGCTTGCGTGGCGTACGACTTGGCATCGAAGGTGACGCTGTCGGTCTCCTGGAAAGCTGGGCCATAGTCGAACCCAACGGTCCTGAGAGCACGGTTCCAGGACTTGCCGGTTGCTGATTGGGGCAAGTTCGGGACTGGCCAAGCCTTAGCCCTAGAGTCGCGAGCGTTGATGGCGATTCTTCCGCGCATGTGGTTCTTCTGGAAACCAGCCTCAGTAACCGAGCAGACGTTGAAATCCCACCACTTCTTCTGGTTTTCACCACTGTGGGCTGACGGGCGCATGTTTAGGAAGACCTCGATACCGTTGTCGTCGTCAGGGGTGACAAGTGCCTGCTGAATCAACACATCTCTAAGCACGTAGCCCTCGATTTCAGAGGGGGTCTCCGATTGCTCATCGAGCTGCGTGATGGCTTCCATAGCCATTGCGAGATAGCCAGCAGCAGGGAACACGGCCTCGCCACCCAAGCTGTGATCCTGGAGCCAAGGTACATCCTTGATGCGGAGAATGTTTCTCCAGGTCGGCTCGGCCGGGGAGTTACCGATGACCAACTCTCCAAGTACATCGTGGCGCATGTATTTCTGTCCTCGGTGCTCCCTGCTCTCACGCGATTGGGCAATGAACTTCTTAGACTTGTCCCACTGGTAAGGGGGTAAGTCCACGATGTAGTCTCCGCTGCGGGCGCGGATCTTTCCGCTGGGGCTCATCTCCTCGACCGAAGTAGCTCTCGCCAGGTCAATCGAGTAGTCTGCAAGGAAGAGCTCACCAGCTAGTTTCAGGACGGAGGTGGCACAGTCTTGGCCTCGGATCAAGGTAGGTAGATACTGGAATTTCTCAAGCTTGAGCTCGGACTTGATCTGCTTAATCGGACCAGAGAGAGCGGAGTGAGGTCCAACCTCAATCAGAGTGATATCGGAGAATTCAGGGGTGGTACCAATGGTCTGGACGGCTTGGTTGAACAAAACGGGGTTGAGCAAGTTGGCGCTCCAGTAAGTCTCATCCAGGACGGAGTCCTCAGGAAGCACCTTGTTGGTCACGGACGAGACCATCGTCGCCTTCTCCAGCACGGGGCGGTTCTTAGCACGGATATCAATTCCAGAGCCCCGCACGAGTGCCTCGTATTTGTCGGCAGCGGGTCGCATGTGGTATGAATGGTAAGCCTTGCCACCAGTCTTGACCAGCCTACAGAACACACCCTTCTCGTTGAAGGTCTCCTGAAGCTTCTTCAAGGATTCGGCGTTACCACTGAGGGTGACACCGGAAGGCGAGTTGTGGCATCCAATGACAACGTCATCGTAACCAGCGAGGTATGGGGTAACGTCCTCAGCACCGAGGCCAACGGCAGCCATGGCACCGTTCGTGTTGATGTTTCCAACAACCTTTCCACGGTAGTAAGCCAAGACAATAGCTTCGGTAGCAGTGAGGAAGCCTGCAGCATAAGCTGCACCAATCTCACCGGATGAGTGACCACAGGTGACGGAGGGCTTGATTCCCCAGAGTCGTAGCAGCTGAACTAGACCAATTTGAACAGCAGTGCATAGGGGCTGAGAGAATTCAGCCTCGCCAACGCGGGAAGTAGCTTCGGGCTCTAGGAGAACGTCTTCAAGAGTCCAGTTGGGGGCATCGCTGAGGTCATCAAGAGCGGCGTCGAGTTGTTGGATGGTCTTGAGGAAGGTAGGGTAGTAAGACATGAGACCAGCACCCATCCTTGCCCATTGGGCGCCCTGTCCGGTGAAAGCGAAGCCGATCTTTCGTTCCTTGCCGCTGGGGTTCTTCTTCTCGGCAAACTTCCAGTCTTCTTCAGACTGGAAAGCCTTGCTTAAGGTAGCGAGGCTCGTGACTGCGAAACCCCTGCTAGAGAAGTGAGTACGGCGGTTGGCCAGCGTGTAGGAGAGATCGATTAAGTCGTAGTCGGCGGCCACCTTTCCGTGAGCCGCGATGTTCCTCTTCAATGCAGACTTATCATGGGCAGAGTAGACAAGCAGGTGAGGCCTGTTCTTGTTGAATCGGCCCCTGCCGGACTTCCTCTTGTTCTTCTGCTCCTCGGAGTTAAACTTGTAAGTCTGAGGTTGCGTAAGGAGGCTCCTAGAACTCTCGACGATGATATGCGCGTTTGTGCCACCATATCCGAAAGAGTTGACACTGACTCTCTGAACAGGGAGTTCCTTGGGGAATGGCATCGGGTCTGTCACAACTGCGACTTGCTTGCCCGTCCAGTCAATCTTAGGGTTGAGGTCCGTTACTCCTCGTGTAGGGGGAACGATTCCTCGTTCCACGGCTAGGATGGCCTTGATGACAGCAGATAGCCCGCTAGCTGCCTCACTGTGGCCGATGTTAGTCTTAACAGCGCCGATGCGTAGAGGACCGTCGGCAGGAGTGCGGTCGTAGTTCATAGCATCAGCGAGAGCGTTGACCTCGATCGGGTCACCGACGGCGGTACCCGTACCGTGGCACTCGAAGTAGCCGGTAAGACGAGGGTCCAGGTCACCACCTCGCTTGTAGGCGTGCGTGATGACTGCCCTTTGACCTCCGTAGCCGGCATATGTGATACCGACACCTTCGACTCTGCCGTTGCTGTTGGTCGCGCTGGACCTGATCACACCTCGGATCGCGTCGCCATCCTTAATGGCGTCTGAAAGTCGCTTTAGGAACACAGCACCGACGGCTTCGGCACGGCCATAGCCGTTTGCGTAACTGTTGAACGTGTGACAAGTAGAGGTAGGAGACAGCACACCAAGCTTAGCAGTGTTCATGTGCTGGTCTACTGTGAGAACTAAGTTGCTACCACCGACGATGGCTGCGCCGCATTCCTTGCTGCGTAGCGCATTGCATGCGTTATGGACTGCATAAACAGATGATGAGCAAGCGGTGTTGACAACGATACTCGGGCCCCTGAGGTTGAAGACGTGACTGATTCTGTTACTGAGAATACCAGGGTCTACACCTGTTGCTGAAAGACTGTGGCGGAAAGAGTGCTCCTTAAACTGCATTTGCTGGTAGTCTGCCGTGAATGTAGCCATGAAGCAGGCAGTGTTGGTACCAGCCAACTTATCCAGGGGAATACCAGAAGACTCGATCGTCTCGTAAACAACCTCCAGACACTTCCGCTGCTGAGGGTCCATCCACATAGCTTCCACCGGGGTGATTCCGAAGAAGCTAGGGTCAAACTCCAGAAGAGATTCGTTAAGGAAATAACCTCCGAGGGCACTGAAGCTTCCGGGACGGTCATTGTTCTGGTGGTGGTGGGCGCCGATGTTGAATCTCGTAGGCGGGACGGAAGGAGTCTGTCCAGTTTGCTTGTTCATCATCATCTTCCAAAACTCCGCTGGTGATCCGACGTCTCCAGGCAGACGGCAGCCTACAACGTGTGTTAGTGATTATTTTGCTTTTTAAATCATAAAGGAGACGTACCCATTCCAATTACAGCGATGGGCTCCAACTGCTGGCTTAGAGGCGCCTCAGATGATCCTTCAAAGAATCCAGCACCTGCATATGCCTCGTCGTCGACTATGCCTTGCGCATTGGAGGCTTGGACATTGTAGCCAAGCTCGAATTCGAGCTCGACATCCGACGCACTCGACGAGGAACTTTCTTTGAAGTGAGGCATCTTGATGGTTTGACTGTGGATTTCGTCTTCGGATCAAGGAGTAGCGAATCAAAAGACTTGCTTGCTTAATTCACTATGAGCACAATGAAACAAGAAACAAGAACAGGACCAGAGGGTTTGCGAGGCTAATATTTAAATATAATCCAAAGCCAGCAAAGAGTCTATCGACGGTCTCTATCAGCGGTTTGTCCTGCGGCCGTGTCTGGGTTGGTCCGCCGCGATGCCGAACAGGGTTTGATACCTCCGTCTCATCCAGCACAAGTAGAAAAGTAGGGTCTACTTCCCGTCTTACTGCAGATGGATGAGACGATAAACTGCAACATCCTCGAAATACCACATAACTTTATGCATGGCGTTGGTCCGTTGGCACCGCACGGCCGACGGAGGCGGACGACCAGATTTGCTTATGATAGACTATAATGAAGGATAGTGTGTCTAAGAGGATCTTAAACACGAACCAGGTTAATCCACTCGTCACGGCAATCAGTTGCAGCTAATGCAATTGCATGGGGCCTGGTAGATCTATTAACTTGGGTACTTACAATTATACTCTTCGAGAATTAGTACGATAATATTTCACCGTCACATTTGTGGCTTATGCACCCACCAAGACCGGCGAGCCCTGGCAACATATTGTTGGATAGCTTTCAATCCCGAATTCTTTCTTTTCTTTTTTGCCTCCTTGTCGCTAAGCGTATGGCTTAGGAACACTAGATAGATAGCAAAAGCCGCGTGACCCAATTTCAACTACAATACGAGTCATTTTTCAATGTACCTCCTTTTGGATATGTCCCCTTTTGGGCATCTCTTCATCGAGTACGAACTTCTCTCTGCTTTGCTGCTAGATCTCCGAATAGCATATGCTATATTGGGTCTAGATTCTAGGATACTTTGTTCGGCGTACATTGCCACAGACATACGTTACAGCGGGATCGTCTAGGGTGGCTTACGTTTGTGTAGCGATGAGACCCAGCCTCCGACGAAGTCACGATAGGGTTTCGATGAAATCTCCGATCCCGCAAGCAGAGAGATCGTCGCTAGTGACAGACAAGTGACATCCTTGTATGCGTTACATAGGCCCTTGATCACCCAAACCAGGGACGCAGAAGAACCGATTGGTCCTGGTTTAAGAAACGATGTTATTCAGGGTTCCCGAGTAGCATATGTATGACAGGATGGCGTGACTTTCCGGGGAAAAGGATAGAGATTCTCGAACCCACGCGCGTGATATGTAATATGTGACAGTTATGTAAAATTAGATACGTTAATATGAGAGGTATGAATGAGTCTTATACTTTCTTGTGTGAGTAGGGTATATTTTGCTAGGTTTGTGAAATTTATTAGACTTGGTAATAGAGAAAACTATCTTGCCAAGATATTTCCATATTTAGCAAATTATAGCCATGTAAGTGTACCTAAGGTAATGTTTAAAAGAATAACTTGAGCTTCATCTCCCTCTTCAAGGCTTTTTGAATAACCAAACCAAATCATCTACAGGACTGGACTGAGGACTTGATTCCTAAGTCGCACTGTTACAATTTATTAGAGCATTGCATTAGATAAGTGGTTCAGTAGTTTATTTTCAAGCCGTAAAGCATGCGTCAGAGTTATCGTATTGCAATAGTTGAATTAAATATCGCCATAACTACTCGGGAAGGCTGGTCGTTTCCGATGTCTCTTGTAGATAAGCCTAGCCAATCATGAGTCTTCATCGGTCGTTGTGGCCGCACCATATGCGCACAGTATAACCAATGATACCATTTGCCCGGTCGAGACGGCCGCTTCCCATACAAACCAAACAATCAACCAAATATGCAAAAGTACCTAAGGAAATAAACCCAATTCTTACTCTACATCAGCTCTACATTAACATCAATCAGATAGGTAAAACTAAACGAAATATATTACTGTATGTATAAAATGAATACCTAGCTTAAGATTCATAAAAACTCTTCTCACTATCTCATTCCTTGTTTACTCTTAAAAGCTAGGGTAATATTGCAATTATATCTATAAGGTACCTAGGCATTTATTCAGGCATTGTTTATTCTTATTTAAAATTCAAATCTTCAACTTATAAGAGGGGCATCTTCGATGATAATGAACAAGACTTAGACGTCTTGGCCTTGGATCAAGCCCTATTAGACCTGATATCAAGGACTTTTAGATGATGAAACTGATGATGAAAAGGA